TCACGGTCCGTGAGTTCGAGCCCTGCGTCGGGCTCTGTGCTGACAGCTCAGAGCCTGGAGCCTGCCTCAGATTCTGTGTCTCCCTCTCTCTCTGACCCTCCCCCGTTCATGCTCTGTCTCTCTCTGTCTCAAAAATAAATAAACGTTAAAAAAAAAATTAAGAAAATGAGCTTCTCTGGTTGTAGACAGAGTTGTCTCGTGCCCCTTTGTGTCCCCAGCAATCTACCCTGGCACACAGTAGGTATCCACACATGCTTGTTGACATTTAGAGATGAACTGTCATTCCCAGCCAGTGTGAAATGTTCCAGGAACTGAGGTTGCTCAAAAATAGCGCTCTGGCAGGGATGTGTGGGTGTGGCCGCCAGAGCTCATGCCCCACAGGCGGTGTGGTTCGATCAGCGGGACACCCTAAGATTCTATAATACCATCTCCTCCTCTCCAAGGGGCCCTTGGCCAGGACAGCTGCCTGGCAAGTGAGGGGCAGGCATCACCTGCTCACACACGTTTTAAATGGGGAACTAAGAGGCGCTCCCTATGACGTCCCTGCTCCCGGTGAGAATGTTTCTGGGACCCTTCCTACCTGGTCATCCTGCCTTCCCTGGGACAGCCAGAAGGCCCTGGCAAACTCTGATGCAAGTAGTGCTCAATTTCCTCAGCTAAAATTACATCTGGAGTCAATTTTCATAAAATGCATTGACAGATTTAGGTTCTGGAAGATGGAGCTTTCTCAGAAGGCATTAAAATGACCCAAACGGTTAGGATCAGCTGCAACCCAGCAGCCAGGGGCTGAGAGCACAGCTTTCCTCCTTCCGCAGCCTTGTGGGAACCCGGGGTCTGGACCCTGCCTGGAGAGACTGCTGTGCCTGCGCTTGACTCCTCCCGGTCACTGGACGATTACCTCTCGGCCAAGGTTCCACTAACAGACGTTCTGCAGTGAACCAACAGGTGGGAATCGGTTCCTGTTTATGAACAAAAGCAGTCTGCCATCCCGGGGGCAGCTCCAGAGATAGATCTGGATGGTTCTTTAAACTTCCCATTCCTGATACTTTCCTCTGTGGGTCACAGAGAGAATTAGGCAAAGAAATAGGGCCTCAGTATGTCTGAGTATGTCCCCCCTTCTCCAGCAATAGCTTGAAGCCTGTGTCCTAGGGGTACCCAGCTGGCTGAACTCTGCCGCCATCACCCCTGAAGGCTGGGTATGGCGTTGATTGTCCACGGGGCGGCCTCCTTGATCTCTAGGGGCCCTCCTGCTCTGACATTCTGACCCCGTGACCCCAGCTGTCCCCAGCCTGACCGCCATGAGCTCCCTGAGTCGCCTCTTCCTGTACTTTGCCAGCCTCGCTCATCTGCTCGCTGTCCATTCTGGACTGTCTCCCTTTGCCCCTCTGGATCCACTCTCTTGGCCACCCTGCTCTGTGCCCGGGAGGCAGACCTGTGTGGACTGCGTCAACAGTCCCCTACCCTAGGTCTTCCAGTGGGGTGATACCGGGGGCTGGGGCGGGGAGGCACTGGCAGGAGAGCAGAGGGTGGAAAGAGAGTGAGGTTGCCCGGGGCCCCCGCTCCTCCTAGGAAGTCCCCCTGGGGTTCTGCGTCCCCTTACCTCCTCAGGCCTTTAGTAGTAACAGCTTTCTGCTGTTGCCAGCCTCATGATTCGTCACCCCTCGCTGGTTTCCCTAAACCCCGAGGACTCCTTTATAAACAGCCCCTTATTAGCTCCTCCAGCTGCCCAGGACCTGGACTGACCTGCTCATTCCGGCCTCCCGCTGTGCCTTCCCTTCTACCAACATCTTTGCTGCTGGGCCCTTGTGCCGTGTCCCCCAGCTTGAGTGAAACCCTGCTCCTCCAGGTGGGTGCTCCCACTGCACTGGGGCCTAGCGCCCTGCCTCCACCACCTGAGGCCAGGCCTGCCCCTCTCTATAGAATGAGGGGGTGGAGCGGATGATCTGGAAGTTCCTTCTGACCCATGTTCTCCTCTGCTCTACGGCATGCACCCCTTAGCCCGATGGCTTGTGCTTAGTCACACTGGATTTTTAAGAGTCCAATGAGCTAGCAAAGTGCTTTAGCTAGGGGAATCTGGGTGGCTCAGCCGGTTGGGCGTCCGACTTCGGCTGAGGTCATGATCTCGCGGTTCGTGGGTTCGAGCCCCACATCAGGCTCTGTGCTGACAGCTCAGCGCTTGGAGTCCGCTTCCGATTCTGTGTCTCCCTCGCTCTCTGCCCCTCCCCCGCTCGCACTCTCTCAAAAATAAACAAACGTTTAAATAATTTTTTTAAATAAATAAATAAATGAAAGTCCAATGAGCCATCAAAGTGCTTTCGCTAGGGGCGCCTGGGTGGCTCAGTCAGCTGAGCATCCAACTTCCGCCCAGGTCATGATCTCGCAGTTCATGAGTTTGAGCCCTGCATCGGGCTCGGTGCTATCAGCACGGAGCCCACTTTGGATCTTCTGTCCATCTCTCTCTCTCTGCCCCTTCCCCATTTGTGCTGTCTCTCTCAAAAAATAAATAAATCTTTAAAGAAAAAAAAAAAAAAAGTGCTGTAGCTAAACATGGTGTCCTGGCTGTAACTCTCTCTCTCCTCTGAACTCCCACTTTATTCCCACTGATACTTTTTTCTGTCACCGTTTCCTCTGTTGGGATTATTCCCACATGTGAATCTCCCCTTCCAGGCTGCAAACTCCATAGTTCCAGCTTTTGGTGAGGCTCTATTTTTTTGACTATCTCCCTCTTTCCCCGCTGCACTTGATAGGTTGCCTGGGACACATAAATGCTTACCGTTGCAAATATTAACCGACGGGGGAGGGACCGGGTGGCCCTGAACGCTCTGGATGATGCCATACAAGGGTATTTACTGAGCAATGACTGCCCACCAGGAACATTACATCCCCATCTTGTTTCACCCGCTCTCACCACAGGCTTACCAGGTAGGTGTTATCCCCATATTACAGATGTAGAAACTGAGGCACAGAAAGGGTAAGCAACTTGCTCCAGATCCCGCCTCCAGAAAGGGCTGGAGCCAGGAACAAAGCACAGGGGTACCTGACACCAAGGCCTCCCACCTTTCCTCTGCTCCACCTGAGGGTGAGGGGATAACGATACAAGGTGGACAGTCAGGGACCCTGACCCAAATGGAGACAAGTCTCAATTACTGAATGTAATTAATCGCTAGCAGGGCAGTGCCCTCAGGAAGAGGCCCGTCCAGACTTTTCCTGAATGAATCACTACGACATTAACACATTGCTGCTTTCTGTGAAGCTCGGCCAAAAGGCTTCAAAAGTAATTAGTTCACTTAAGTAGGCTAAACGTTCCCCCAGCAATCTGGTTTACACTGTAATTGGCTTAGGGTCTCAGAGAGGGCGAAAAAGGTAAAGTTTAGCCCAGCCCCTGTGGAAATACTTCCCACACATTTTATGGATAAAATTCACCCCCTTCGGCCACTTGCTCCTGCCCCACACGGGGGCAGGGGTAGGAAGCAGGGCAGGTGACGCCCTGGCCAACCCGACAAGGAAGGAGGTTTGTTAATCAAGTCTGAGTTACTGAGGCTTTTACTGGCTATTCTCATGCTGGCCCTGTCGTCCAGGAGGGACTCCCCAGGTTCTTGGCAGAGCTTGGAAGGCAGACTAAAGAGTTGGGACTTGATTCAAAGCAGAGAAGAGTCACTGAAGGTTTCCAAGCAAGGGCATCACCTAACTGAATGATCACATTGGTCAGAAACCAAGGGAAGGCTGGTGTAGATGAGACATGGCGCCAGCTGCCATGTCCATGTCTTAGGCCACCACACGAGATCTTTCTTTCTTATTGGGCCTGGATTCCCTCTGTCTCCCCCTCAGACTGGGGCTCCCTGAGGACAGGGCTGCGTCTCCCCCCTCAGCCTGGGGCTCCCTGAGGGCAGGGCTGCGTCTCCCCCCTCAGACTGGGGCTCCCTGAGGGCAGGGCTGTCTCCCCCTCAGACTGGCACACAGAGGGCAGGAACTTTTCCCTCCACCATGTTTCTTCTTGCCACAGCAGGGACAAAACTCCATGCTCTTCAAGCCTTGCTATCCTTCCCAGCGGCTCAGATGCTGCGCTCCCAAACACATCAGGTGGGATGTCTCCAGAGTTAGACAAACAGACACATAATGAGGGCCAGGCGATGTTTCCAGGGTGGGGAAGAGTTAGCCACCTACCTCCCGCCACTGCTTGTTCTCCATCCCTTGAGTATACATGACACATACTGTGGGGAAAGGAGAAAAACAGGGTTAAGACCCCAGGCCAAGATGGGGACAGCTCTGGAGGGGGAGGCATCTCAGGAGACTCTGACCTGGGTCGCACCGTTTACGTCTGGAGCCGGGGTGGGGGTGGTCAGCTTGGAGAAGGGGCCTAGAACATAAGCATGTCTGGGAGAGGCACCCTTTTGGAGGAGGTTAGGCCAGAACGTGATGGAGGGCACATGGAGGACTGAGTCGCAGAGACGGGAGAGGACATCTGCATCCTTTCAGACCCCAAGGCAGTCTCATGAGGCCTTGTACCATCACCAGCCCCACCTCACTGATGGGCACACTGCGGCCCAGAGGCGGCCAATGACCTGTCTGAGATCATACAGTCGACTGGCATTGCTCAGGGCTAGCTCCCTGGACTGCAAAATCAGCGCTCATCCCCGCCCCTCCCCGCCCCAGACCACAGCCAGTTGGGGCTCTAAAATGTACCGGTCTCCCTGGGACCCAGAACTCCTGGCCTCAGACACCCCGATCCCTGCCAACCCCCTTGGTCGTGTTGAATCTTCACCAGTTCCTGCAGGCTGGGAAGGGTCAGACTCTCCAGTTCTCCTCCAGACAGTACCAGTAAAACACTAAACAGCCTGGATGCACCCGGAGTGGTGCCTGGCACATAGCACGCAGGAAGGGCTCCAGGGTCGGCCGCCGCAATCGGTCGGAATGGCGTTGCTGTTGTTGTTACTGTTATTATGGTCAGAGCAGGACTTACGTGGGTCGGACTTGGAAAACATGTCTTTGTCCAAAAGGTTCCTGAAAGAGCGGGGAGAGAAGAAGAGTTAGCACAGCCAGAGAGGAGGCTCTCGGGGGATTCGGGCCGATGTGAGACGCAGAGGCTGCCTCAGGCCCGCTGCAGGCAAAACCGGAAGAGAAGACGGCTCCTTCAGGACAAGATCATTAGGTGCTCATTAAAACCGGCATAGGGCGGGCGGGCCCTGGAGGTCCCTCAGCTCAGCTTCCTAAGGAGCGGGGCTCCCCACCTCCCACCCCAACCAGCCACACACACTCTGGGCACGCTGGATCCCGCAGGACCTCACTCTTGAGCCAAACCTCACTCTGCCCAATGTCTTAGCCTGTTCCAGAAATTCTCCTGTCACTAAATAAATAAATAAAGTAAAATACATAAAGTAAAATCCAGCAAACAAAACTTAGCCACCTTGTGTCCCATTCTCTGAGGGCTCTAGTTACAGCCAGTTTATTCAACCCTCTCATCTATGCCGATAGATTAATGATACTTGGCGCCATGGGATACAGACTCATTTGAACAGGGTCCCCGGAAGCTAACACATGGCCCTGATAATCAGACTTGAAGGCACTACAGCAGGACGATGGACACATCTGGGGACCGAGAGGTCCTGAACGGGTGGCGAGCCCCTCCTGCCCCGCTTCCGTGCTATCACACGCTCTTGAACCCCAGTGATGGATGCTAAGTGTCCTGTAAATTCGCTCCCAATTCACACGGCTGCCCTGCGAGGTTAGTACCGGGTAGGCATCATCCCATCGGACAGATGCGGAAGCGGAGGCACAGAAGGATCAGGCAAGGGTATGTCCTGAACATCTGTGTCCCTCACTCTATAGTGACCTGCTGCTGTCAGGAAGCAACACAGCCCACTGGAAACTCAGTTTCTGGCTGGGATGTGACTCGGCTTCTCGGAGCCTCTGTTTCCTCACCTGTACAATGGAGACAAGAGAACCAGTCCTGAAGATTGCTGATGCCTTACCCTATCTCCTCAGCCCTTCTAGCTCCTGTACACACCCACAGTTTCCTCCGGCATCTGCTTCTCTCCCAAGGGCCTTCTCTGGCAAGCCAGCTGCAAATTACCAGGAAGTGTATGCTCCCCAGGTCAGCCCTCAACCAATGATGGGCAGGACTTGGGGGTAAATACCCAGTTCTTCATTGCTCTCCCCACCCCCCAATGCCAGGCAGATCCCAGGAGTGCTCCCAAGTCTCCAGTGGGACCGAGTCCCAGAAGCCCAGTGGGCGACCTCCTCATCAAAGACCTTGTTGACTCGTGTAAGGGCCCCCACCCCCACCCCTGGAAGACTTCTGTGAGCCCTCCTGCCTCTGCAAGCTACTGTTCCTTCCTACACTACCCTAAAGTAAGCCTGCCCGGGGCGCCTGGGTGGCTCAGTCGGTTGAACGTCCGACTTCAGCTCAGGTCATGATCTCGTGATTCCTGAGTTCAAGCCCCACATCGGGCTCGTTGCTGTCAGCACAGAGCCTGCCTCAGATCTTCTGTCCCCCTCTCGCCACCCCTCCCCCACTTGCACCGTCTCGACGATAAATAAAACATTATAAGATAAATAAAGTAAACTCTGGCCTTGCCAGCCATCTTAGCCTTGTCCCACCTCCCTTCCAGATGTCCCCAGGGGTCTTCTCACCCTGTCCCTCCACTCCTTCCATGAACTCCTTTCTCAGAAAGGAGAAACAACAGACACCGGTCCGTGTGGCTTCCTGACCCCCAACTCCAACTGTCAGAATATGGAGCCCTCTGGGTCATCTGTTCCGTCTTCTCCTAGGAGGGGAGAATGAAACCCAAGGAGCGGCAGGGAATAGGCAGTGGTAGAGCCAGAAAGATCTAGAAGAAGGCCTTACCCTGGGTCACTGTCACCAAAGCCATCAGGAGTGGCAGTCTATCTGGGCAATTTGACCCCACAGTCAATGCCAAAGGTGGGAGGTGGGAGCCAGAGACCAGCTGATGAATGGACAGATGCAGTGGCAACCAGGTGCCAGCACATGGCACCCCTGCTGCTGGGGAGGCCCCAGATCACGCTCATGAATCCCCAAGACTCCCAGAGATGCCCTTGAGAGAGGGATCCCCAGATCCCCACCCTCTGTTCCAGCCTTCATTCAGGGGCCTCTTCCCTAGAGGCCGCTGCAAACACCCACCCACACCCACACCCCCTCTGCTGGTCTCCACCACTCCTGCACCAGATCTGCTCCGGGACAGCTGTCACTTTGGACATCATCTGATAAACCTCCCAGCCCACCGCAGTGAGCACCAGATGAAATGATGAAAGGCAGCCCTGAAGGGGGCAGGGGGAGTACAGGTAAGACATCACTTTTTTT